CAGGATGAAGTCAGCCCCATTGGGCTCCAGTGGTATTTGGGGGAAGCCTTCAATCCTCCCAGACACCCTGGGTATTCATACAACCTGTGCTGGAGCTCGGGGTTTTAACCCTTTCCCCCTTGCTGCCTGCTATCCCAGCCCTTCTCTGCAGCAGCTGCCCACCCATGGCTTCCACAGAGCCACTCAGAGGGAGAGGATGAGCCTTCATCCCTCTCCTGAAGAGGGACCGCTTCCCCCCAGATGTGAATTAGGACCCCCATTATGTTGCCTCTCTCCCAAAAGCTGCCGCATCCCAACCTGACCCTATTCACCTGACCCCATCCACTGCACACAGTCTCCTCACCACGAAAATAATTTTTGGCAAATATGTAAATAGTCTGTGTCATTCCCAATCGTTCCCAGCCCCAGGGAAAACCATGGACAAGCTATGGCTGTTCCACTCGCTTCTCCAGCACCTGGTACTGCAGCCTGGGTTTTGGTAGCTCCCCAGCATCACCCACCCAAGCCACATTAGGGAGCCACACCTGGATGTGCTGGCTCTTCAGGAAGGCCTGACCACAGCAGGACAAGCCTGGTGACATTCCCATGTCCCTCCTGACCAGCAGGGTCTTGTCACCTCCTTGCTTTTCCCGTCCCTGCACATAGCCCAATTGGACCCCAAGCCACCCTTCCCTGGAGCAGAGAATTGCCTCTCACCTGGACTTGGGTACGATGGCTCCTCTCCAGCAACCTGGCTCGGGGAGTCTGAGACCAGGGAAGTGGCCATAAGTGGTCACCTTTGAGGTCCTCTGTCCCCAGTCCAGCTGCTAGCCCATGCCTGAGGGAGCGCGGGAGCCAGGCACGTGGCCAGTGTCAGGATCCTGCCACAGTGCCTTGCACTGAGCAAAAGGCTTTCACGTGCATGTTTTGGGGTGACAGCAGCTGTCCTGCTGTCTGTCCAGTGTCCAGTTGCCTGAGCAGCGGTGGATGGACGGACACACTGCAATGAGCCAGAGATGAACCTGGCTTAGGACTTGTGGAGGGAACTTACTGAATGTTGCAAATTTGTGCTCAATTCATCACCTCCCCCCTCCTGCTGGGGAGAAATAAAAATCTTCAGGAGCCAGAAGTTTTTGACGTCTTGAAAATGAAGTATTTCCGTTCTCAGCTTTGAAAGGAGTCAAAGCATTTTGGCCTGAGAACTGGGGAAACCATCAATTCCCCTATCCTGGAAGAGAGTAAGGAGTGAGATCACACCGATTTCCCTGTGGCTGCAGCTCCCTCTTTGGGGGAACCCCCCACATTTCCGTGCCGATGTGCAAAACCACAACTTCGATCCCACAAAAGGGGGCTGCCCCATCAGATGCCACCATTTGTGCCATGCAGAGCCCAGGGTGCAAACACAGGGGTGATAAGTGGGGGCTGCAAGCGTGTCCCAGCAGCACATCCCCTTGGGATAAGGATCTAGTCCTGCACCTCATGTAAACTATTTGAATAGTGATGCTGTTCCAAGCTGTGTGTTAACACAATTAAACAGGGGCTCGATTACATCTCCCTGCTTGTGTGCCAGGCTGAACGTCTTCCCACGTATTTACCCCCCCACCCCCCC